GATAACACGTATAGGGACTTATGTACAGGCTGTCCCTATAGCAAGACAAAATTGAGTGACTTCCTTAGCGGTAGAAGTACACACTACTACTGAATATAATAAAAAGTTAAAAAAAAAATGAAGGTCGCCTTAATTTTCACATTTTTTTATTATTGCTTCTAATTACACAGTTGAAATGAGTTTATCAACAGATACTTGATTAAACTAAAAATTTTTAAAAAAAGCAGAATTTCCGATAAATTGGATATATCTCAAGAAGCATCAGAGTTGAGTATAACGAATAGGTATATAGTTTGATAAAAATAAGAGAAAAAAAAATTAAAGTATGGAATGATTCAATTTTATAAGTTTGACCTGGAACTATGAAACAACTAATTCCAGAAGACATTCTTTCTCATTTACTACGAGAATTACTTTACACTATTTGGACATTCTATACGCAAATGTTCATATAAGCGTATCGAAGAAATGTCAATAGTAATGCCTCCCTTATGGGAAAACGAATTCAGAGCAAAGTTACCTTAATGGCTGAGTAATTAATCGAATTTCCATATTTAATGATGGAATGTGCCGTACAGCGGGAAGTTCTGAAATTATAGTGCATTATCTAATTATTTCGGCAGACGCATAATTTTCCAGTCCGTCCTTTCGCATTAGGGGTGAAATATAACGGGCGATATGGTTCAGGTTCATGCCATAAATCACCGAAAGACGCACCCACCTCAAAAAACGTTAGTTATCTATGAGAAGGGTTATATCACGGCGGAACTTGCGTACAATCGATGTGGTAGTTCTTGTGTTACAGAAAAACCAAAATTATTGGAAACGATTTATTCTTTATAAGATGTAGAAAGGCATGTGTCATTCATCCTTGTAATAAAATTTTCGTTTCGAAAAAGAGTACGTATTTGTGGACCATCAAAAATACCTTCTTTCAATTTCGCATCACTTATCGCTGGAAACTTCTGTCCTAAATATTGAAAACAGTCACCAGCTTTGTCCAGAGCTTTGACAAACTGCTTCATGAGACCAAGCTTGATATGAAGAGGAGAGAACATTTGAAGGCTCAGTCAGTGATATACAGGGTGATTCACAAATGGTGACCAAAATTGAAACATCGTATGCTTTGGTGAATTTTAACCCATAAAGTTTGTATCTAGGACGCTTCGTTTAAAAGATACAGGGTGTTAAACTTCAAACAATATTTTCAATTTTCTTAAATAATTTTGAAGCTAGTAATTGAAATAATTTGAAATTGAGCACAATTGGGTATTTATGTATTTGTCCAAAATCTGAGGCCTTTTTCTAAAATTTAGATGCTTCAGTGGCGGATATACAGGGTATCATTGGCATATTTTTCTAAATAATATAACACACCACAGCTTTACGGTAGCAACCATGATATTTTCGGATTCGTCTTTAAATTTTTAGTAATTTGTAGAAAATTAAAAGACAAATCCGGAAATATCATGGTTGTTACCGTAAAGAAGTGGCGTACTATTTTATTTAGAAAAATATGCCACCAATACACTGCATCTCTGCCATGTAAATTTTAGGAAAAGCCTTCAGATTTTGGACAATGTTTACATAAATGCATGTGCCCAATTTAAAATAATTTCACTTCCTAGTTTTTAAATTATTTAAAAAAATTAAAAATATTTCATCACGCAGAGGATACAATCGAAAACAACATCAGCATATTCTAAATCTATGACAAAAAAATCAAGATCCTCTAAAAAATGCTTATGTAATTTGCTGTTTCCTCCCTATTTCCTATAAAAAGATGGAGTTTAAGAGTTTCGACATCGTTGCATAGCTGTTTTCTGTTGAAAAAATCATGCATATTTATTTTGGATTTAACTTTATTTATTCCTAATTTTTTCTCAAAGAAAAACTATTATTAACTTGTTCTACACAGTAAACTGTAAAAAAAAATACCAAAAAAACTTATGGCTCCACAAATAAATACTATATACTTTTGAGATTTTTCAACTCAGTATAACCTCCTGAGGATATTATTGGAATCTTCAGTACTGAGCTCAGAGTTCATATTTCATGTTTTTGCACTGCCAAGTCGTCCAAGAATATACTGTTATTGGTAAATATAACATATGGAGAAAGAAAAAACATATCTAAATCAAAATAGTCTTCTATAAGTTATATCCGATATCCTGTCATGCCAACGACAAAACAAATGGGTACGCAAACATTTTTTCTGTAGGAACTTCACCAGACTCTGACCTAGATTGCGAGGAGACAGTGATTTTTATTCGGCTGCTCTTTATTCCATTTCGTCTTATCAGATACAATGTCAAGAGAATACATTAGACAAAAATCGGTTGCAAAAGTTGTGTAACGTTAGACTATGATTGAACCTTTTAAGCTGGCTTTTAAGTTAACTCGGAACACGTTTCAGTATCATTCCATTGGATCCCACTAGATTTAAATAATACATATTTAACCATTTTACTCAACTTAACTTAATACTTAACGATTTTAATTGAGAAACCAAAATTGAAAAATAGAAGTAAGGTTTGTTTAGCCAAAAAGTTCACATAGTGTATGATATACTATGCGATTTCAAATTAGATCACGTTCTGTTAAAGGTCTAATTATATTATATTTTATACGTTTCAACTAGGGATATATTTCTTTATCAAGGCTGCAACAAAATATGAAAAGCCGTTAACTTATATTCCAGTGACAACAATTATATTTTCTTCAAATGCTTTAAAAGCCCAACGTAATATACAAAAAAGTAATTTCCAAAATTACTACAATGACAACAACATCCAAACAAAAATTATAAATATGCTTTTAATATTAAAAATTGAAAGCAACAACTTCCTGCTCCAAAAACTACAACAAACAGTTTATCACAAAAAGTAAGTAGGTACATGATAACTTGGAACAAAATAAATGAATCAATTTACGTATACACAAAAGTTAACTTATACTGATATGTAACCATATTTATGTAATATCACGAAACGATATTTTTTCATTGACCTTTAAAACGGTTTGAGCTAGAAACTTTGTGCTTGACATGCGTGATAAGTCTTTTTAGTACAACATATTTATTAGTTTATGTTTCATTATTTAGGCCACAGCTTCCTTTACCATCACATTTTTTTATCTGTATACCTATGATTAAATAATTACATTTTCTTACCTAAAATTGTTTTAAAGATTATTTGTCTCTTGTAAAATTTTAATGCCTATAGATTTTAATTAAAAGAAATATCTTCATTATAGACATGGATTATTTTATGTCTTTGGAACGCCCATAGTATCTTTTAGGCATATATTTAGAAAACACATTTATATAAACCTTTTTTAGTGATTTTATACGTTAAATTGCTCGTTCAAATAACGTAATTCTCGAAGGTATTCCAGTGAATTTAGAGTCGAAGAAACTTTTAGATCATTTTTGTTTACAAATATCATTTCTTATTATTAAAATTTATATATGTATACACCAATATAACAAACAATAATTATGTATATGTAATATTTTAACGAATTCTGTATAATACCTGAATTTACAAATAGTAGTTTAACTTTAGGTTTAAGATTTTCCATTCTAGTCATTTTTTTAGTTTATCTTACTTTGATTTTACAATAGGTTTATTTGGTTTCACCGATTAATTTTCTAGGAAAATTAAACAGCTTTAAGATTGCAATATGCTTTATTCTGTTTGTACAAATTTGTTACAAATACATTTTTTTTTATTTAGTACTAAACATATTTTTTTTTCTCTTTTTGCAGCATACCTTTTTATATATTATATACCTGCTAATTTTTAAAAACGCAGACATTCAAAATTTCAATTTCAGTGAAAAACTGTCACTGCAAATTGGCAATTAAATGTTTGACAACTGATTAGAAAGACTACACATCAGATTTTGATAAAATAAATCTAACTTATTTAGTAATACGAACTGTTATGCAATGGCAGATCCAGATTTCAAAGTACACCAAGACATGTGCTGCAAAATTTTAAACAAATGGAAATTCCAGTGCCGGCTAAACTGTAACTGTAATGAATTGGTTGCATTCAGTCGAAAAGCCTTGTATTACAGGAGGTTTGGTCGCTTATTTTATTTTTGTTGATTTGTGCATTAATTTATTTACATTTATGAAATGAGGAAGTAAGTAGCTGTGGACAATGAAATCTTCCCAATCGAAAGTATATAAATTTCAGCTATGTTTACTAGTTATTATATGAATTTAAAAAGTAATAAAATGTAAGAAGTAATGGTGACAAATAAAATAGTTTTCTAGGGTTAGAACCTAAAATTGCACAGTAGGATTAAATATTTGCTTTAATTTAGAGCTGACATTTCCTAATTTTTGGAAATCACAAAAACAAAAAAATACTTAATAATTTATCTTAACATTTTTTATTGAAATTCATAGCAATCAAAATTTCGTATAAATTTTTGTAGTTATGTGAAAAAATATTGTAGGTGATACTACATGGAGAAGGTCTCAGTGAGCGTCGACTATTATTCCATTAATCCAATTCAAGGAATCCATGGTCTTGCTTTATGCAAATATTTTACAGACACTATGTGTAAAAAAATTGAGAACATAAATAAATACGTATTACAAATGTTAGGTTTGTTTTGAATTCAGATGCTTCACTGTGACCTACATGATGGAAAATTATGATTTTATTAGTTTTTCCGAAATGAGACTTTTTATACGGGATAAGTATGGATTTTCTATAACTGAGACTGTTGACCATTATCTGTCTAAATGTTATGACATCTCTAAAATGCGCAGAACTTGTATTAGTAATTTGTCTGTATGTTCAAACGATAAAATACTAACATCGTTAGAGGATATTTACTGTGTTATTAAAAAATGTACCTACTAAACATAAAAATTGAAATTGAAACATGAAAATGAATAGGTACTTAAACATTTCAGACAATATTGTCTTTTATAATAGAAACTATTCTGACAATTATTATAACAAGAGTTTTTGTTTCAGAATGTTATAAACTGCCAAATATATAGTAGTAAATAGTGGAACAACGACAAACAAGACAAAATGACGTCAAGACTAGCGGAAATGCAAGTAAGTATCTCTTAATAACATCTCAATATTTATGAGTTTTTAGGAAATTCCCATCTAAAAAATTTATTAACTTTCCTCAAAAATTAAGATAAATATGCAATAGCATGACCAAGACTAATAGAATTAGTTTTATTTGTGTTACATGTGACATTTTTCCGTACTCTGACAAACAAACTTGTTTACATAACAATAAACAATTGCAAGGAAAGGTCAACAAATGTATAAAAGTTTAAAATGTGATTACAGTTGTCCCACATCTTCCAATAGGCAATGAGAAAGGTGTATATTTTATGAGAGGAAGCAATTATTCAATTTTGTTTCTAAAGAACACACAATACAAAATATTTGAATTTGCCTCATTAATCACCTGGCTTGTCTCATATTACAATCGATAATAACTTTTTTTTAACTTTTTCCACTTAGGGAGAGGAATTGTTTAATTTTGTTATCAAAATGCTTACAGGAATTGTTTTTGTTATATTTTTCGTACAGTCAACGGATTATACATAATCTTCCTACCTTCTAGGATATTAGTCCGCTTGTTCACAAACTTGTGGACCCTCTTTACGGAAAAGCTTTTGATACGGATTTTAACTAACATTGTACCATCTCTATTTACATCTCTTCCATTTTCGTATGTTCCAACATCGCAAATCATTACTAACCAAAAAGTAAGAAACAAAAATTGGGGTGGAAGCACTCATCATCTCGCATTTATGCAATAACCATTTAATCAACAGTTCTATTAGAATTGCATGGATTCGTAATTCAGTCAAATTAGATCATAAAATCTGAAAAATCAGAAAAGAATATTGGTAGACATTTTATTGCACTTTATGACGGGGAAGGGTACATAAAATAATATCAAAAAAGTAACTCGAAAGAAGTGATGCTAAATTGACAAATTGCAAAGTTACAAAATTGCATGTTTTTTAATTTTTTTTTACTGTCCATGAAAATCTAGACGACATATCAGAAGATTAATTGTTTTGTATTGTAGGCAATTAAATTGCCTACAATTTAAGGTACCTGAAGTCACTTTTCACCTATTTGTTAACTGCAAAATAAAGGTCGAACGAGAAAAAGTTTTCGAGAATTGAGCATTAATTTTGCGACGGATGTTGATGAAATCTACCGTTAATTGAAAGACCAACATGTCTGCCAAAGGCCGATTCAATTGACCGTGAAATTTTTGCTCCAGACATTTGTTATTTAATTTCGTTCGTTTTTTTTTTGCAACTAATTGTTTAATTACCAAACGTTAATTTTAGAAGTTAATATCGTAGATATAGGTTCTAATTAATTCATAGAAACGTATTGAAAAAGAAAAATCTTATAAAGTTGAAATTAAGTAGCCCTTTATAACTAACAAAGTAGGACGTGCAAAACAGCGTTATAAACAAATTGCCCTAGGTTCAGGCAAAAGCCGTTAGGGAATTCGCTTTTTTTGTATTAAATAGAGTTTATTTTTACGGTAATTAAAAAAAAGAGAACTCACCTACGACTCTTTGTTCCAAATATAACTTGTTTAATTATCTATTAGACGTATCGGACGAGGATTTTAAAGATAATTAAAGAAAGGGTTAAACTTTTATGTTCAAAACGTTTTACATTGATAGTTCATGTAATAACCGCGTTAGCAGCAGTAAAAGTTAACGTTAATGAATGGCCTACACGCAAGAGAAAGAGCGCCGGGCCCACGCGCGCGATATTTTTGCCTTCAACTTTCAAATTCGGTTCAGTCTCTATCTCGAGAACCGCTCGATCAATTTTGATGATTTCTTTCTATTGTAGATATTTCGTCAAGATGAGTAGTACAATGCCGTCATAAAATTTACATATTGTCGGTATTAATCCGTCGCAAATTAAACATTAAATGTTTATAAATTAAAAATATCCATATAAATTTTACTTACGACTGCTATAAATATTATTTTTATCTCGTAGTTCATTTTTTTTGCTTTCTTGAAGAATAATGTATCTTTTAAAAATTTCAAGGGAATGGGGACATTAGCAATAATAATTTATACAGATATTTATAAAAATAAAAACTTTTATAACTTTTATTTTTATTATAAAGGCTTTGATTTACTGTTATTAAATTTTACTTTTTTTGGCAGAAATGAATTCATCACCATCTTCGTTTTGTTAGAAATCTGTCTTTTCAAAATTGATTTCTGTAAATTCTTCGGTATCATCTGCAGTTTCTCGATTATAGGTTTCTCTGCGTTTTCGCCATGGCAAAAAATTAAAATAAAAACCCAACCTATAGGCCGTACGATATTTATTCAAATAGAATTCCAAGAAAAGAATAAGCCAATAAAGTTCTGTTATCGGAACTACTACTTTCCGCCAATGTCTTTCTACCTCGGATGTCGAATGCGGTTAACTCCAAGAAATTGACGCAGGGGTCTTCTTGGAATTCTACTTTTGACTTTGGGAGTCAGTTGCATTTTGTTTTTCTCATCAATCTTAACTTCATCTATTTTACTCTTACCAGATGAATAAAAACAACTCTGGGGCATTTTGCATCCTCAAAAACTTCTAAATGCATTACATAGTTTTTTAAATATGACTAAAATTAAATTTAATAAATGATCTTTGACAGCCTCTATCTCAAAAATAAGAAATGAGAAGCCCTGATCTGATCCCTGAATTTATGGTGCGTTTTTCCAAAACACCCTGCATGTTTTTTTTGCAAATTTCATTTCATTATTTAGTCGCAAAAATGAATCATCAAAATATATCCTCTTAAATTTTCACCAACCGATACGGTACTTTCCTTAATATTTTTCTAAAAGATATGTGCATCCCGTTGGAAGAATATTTTAATCAATCATAATTATTGCATAAACTACTTAGGTATATCTAATATTTTTCAGACAATATAAAATGATCTGTTAGATTAGACCAATTTAGAGAATTTTTTAACAATTTCGTTTCTTGTTTGAAGGAAAGTTATTGCTCTGATGCCGTCAACCTACTTAGTTGATGCCAAATCAGATTAAAAACGAAACTGAAGGTCGACCTCTCCATATTTGGAAAATGTATTCATCGATATTGTTAATACGTTATAAAAAAAGGGTCAATGTAATCATTAATATTATAATTATGTGAAATAATTATTAAATTAAGACGAACAAGTAGGAAAGTTATGAGAGCGAGATTCGAACTAACTATAAAAAGGGTTATTGAATGCAATCAATAAAAAATTTCCCTACTAACCAACACCTGGACTTGTTCTGTTCTAAATAAACACCATTAGCAAAGGATATCGCTTTCAGTAGGTAATTCCGGTGTGACGTGGCATAAATCGATATCAGAAAATGAATGTAAACAATGCGCTTTATCATAAAATACGTGACGCAGTCATAATTAGATAGGTAACACTCAGTACGTAGGTTTACAAGTACTAGATTTGCTTACATTCGATGTATTTGACTGTAATTAGAATGCTTGGCCTTTAATAGTGGATTATACGTAATAAATAACAAAAATGTTCCTATAAACATGTGCCTGGTTTCTAAAAAGATTGTTTTTTTTTAAATTCCAAGAAAAGACGGCTGAAACTATTTCGTTCAAATTTTCCCCATTCATATTCTATCACAGAAGTATAACGTATATTATTGTAATAGGTGGACGTCGCAATTTTCTCTTCATTTTTGTACTTCCAAACTATTTCAAATTTGATAGTTTACTGACAAAAATTGATTCTTGCCACATGCTGCTGTAATGATTTTTTTTTCGTATTATATGTTACAATGTTAGGATAATTAGGTATCATAAAAGTACCAAAACATTAAATTATTTATTTTAATAAAGATAATTACCGTTCAAGTAGTCGCGTTGTCTATGAATGCAATTAAAGGAAAATGTTATTTATCCTTAACTATTTTGAATAGTATGTCTCACAAACCTTACAAAACGTATCATATTGCATTGATTTATACAACACTTTTTCGTTAATGTGACTAATGAGAAACTACCCGTTTTAGTATTTTTTATTTTATCGTCCGTTTTACTTCTACAGTTTGTTTTAGAATTTAAAAGTTTTTCAAATACCTTTCACATTTATAATTTTTTTATTCATATTTTGCACAGATTTAGAGATGTACATTCATATTTGATGTAAAAGAACAGTTACCTTATACACGCCATTTATCCAGGTTGAGGAATTTTTTTGCTTGATGCTTCGTGCACACAAGTCTCGTGGGGTAAAATAAAATCAATTGTTTGGTCATAATTGCGTTTCAGTCATTGTTGTTTCCTGTATTTGATATTTATAATTATTGATTTAATAGTCGATTATTTTTGTACAATTGTTAAGCGGAAAAATAATACATTGCTTTTAGATCAAAACGAAGCGTGCATGGTATTTATACAAATTATATGACCCATTGATACACATACACAAAATTTTAAGATGTGTAAAATGCGAACAAAAAACAAAGGTATTTGTTTTGTCTTACTCCTAGAAAGTTAATGTACAGCGTGATTCACTATATTTTGACTCCCCTTTAACTTTTTTGTTTTGAGAGGTATAAAGAAATGTAAAATACAAAAGTTGCACGATTTTTTGTAATTTTTTCGAAATTGATATTTGAAAAACAAAAAAAAAATTGTTAATTTAAATTAATCACCCTGTATATTTTTACATATTTCGATAGAACGTTCCCTGTCGAGCATAGTCATATAGGGTTTGTTGGGTCCATCTCTAACAATAAGCGAGAAAAATAAGATATCTTGTAATTGTTGGACCTCTTTTAGGCACTTCTGCCTTCTTTCCAAGTACCTATGTAAGAATTTACAGATTTAATTGTAATATATTTTGACATATTACGTAATTGGAAAAAAGGCAGAAATACCTGAAAGAGGTCTATCAATTACAAGATATCTTATTTTCTTAAGGTCGCCATATCCCTAGCCGAGAAATAACCAAATTTCTGGCGTTTTAGGTACTGAAATCTTGAAAAGTAAACCGTGTAGAACAAAAGTAAGCA